GAGGGACAAATCAAGTCAATCTCTTGAAGAAACTTTCTGCCGAAACGGTTGTACTATCAATAATCTTTCTCAAGCCTTTCGATACACGTACGCCATCGCCTCACCAAGCAGAGCGTCTTGACTCTGATTCTCATGTTTGCAGAATATTAGGCACTACCTTCATGGTTCGTATCCTTGATTAAACCCGTGTAAACTGGGAAAACTAGAGACGCTTATCCCTGGCCACCTGCTGTATTTAGAGTGGTTTTCTAATACATTTTGGTCATAATGCCGAATTTCTGTGACCATTTTGAATATCCGTCTGCTTAGACTAGTAATCGCCAGGCCCCAAATGTGTATTGCTTCTTCTAACAGACTGAACTCATTCAGAATGCCTTGTCATGATTTCCGAAACTTCCCCATCCGCTTCCTCCTCGCTATTCATTTTCCTCTGGTTAGCGATATATGCTTGCTCTAGGCGTCTCCTTTTTGCTGGCTTTGTCGTATTCTTGTTTTCTCCGAGTTTGTTCAAGCAATAGGCAAAGTTATCGCTAATTCTACCTTATTTAAATCTCCACTTTATCACATTTCTTTTCGTAAAGATGACAATTCTCCCCCTAAGCTTCCGTTTTCTTATGTTCTCCCGTATGAGGTTCTCCTTTCTGCTGCCTTCCATCTGATCTCGTGTCCAATTTGTGCAATTTGTTCCGTTAATTCTGGTCTTTTGGCATATATTTTCATGCAGAGTCATCGATGTCCCTTGATTCGTATGCTGATTTTTCTACTTGGTTTGCCAATATATAGCAGAGTACTTCGGACAAGGTACGTCCAACTAAATCTTCCGACAATACGACCAAATTGCGAAAATGAGTATGATCCACTTCGATACATCGAAACGGGAATACGACCATACCAAAGGCCACACCATCTTGGTGGTAATATCTTTGAGCATGCTTATTAGACTTGAGGTACGAAAAAAATGCATAGCCAAAGCCATGCCATCGTGAGAAAAGCAAATGCTGGTTTCTGACGAAGACATTCCTTGCTTTGTGGCTTTATCCTCTATATTAACCTCAAGAAAGCAATCTGTCCTACGAATACACCATGCTACCCATCCTCAAACATTTTAAGTTTATTGGTAACTTTTAAAACAAAATATGCTGTGTAAGCGATAGTATGATAAAGATCTGGAGTTTTAAACATTTTAAACAAACTATTTTACTCATAATGCAACGGCACTTTCGCTTGCAAGGCAGCAGATGCTTAGCATACCCTGGTTTCCTTACTAGTGAAGAATATATAAGAGATAAGCAAAGTAAGCTATTAGTAGTATATGCCTCTCTCTCCATTATCATTTCATATGATAATGATATCAATAAAGGAGTTTCCTGCATTACTGTAGCATTCTTCAAAACCTCATAGAGGAAGACCCAGTAAACTAAATGAGAGAAGTCTCAATGGAAGTAATGTCAAGAGAAGAGAATTAATGTTTAAAAAATGCAAATTGTTTCTTAAAATGAAGGAATATATTGAATTTTTAGTTTGTGAGTAGGGTTTTGAGGCTACCACTAAACCAGCTAATTGAAAACAAGAAACTTGTCAACACCTGGATGAGTTGTATTGAGAAAAAGGTATCACCAAATGACTGGAGCGGAATATAATAATTAAGAAAAAAAGTGTCACCATTTCATCATTTTACCAATTAAAATGGGAAAATACGGAACAAGTAAGGACCCAAAATACATGTGCAGATATAGTGGGACGGCTTTAGGAATGCTTCCTACCTGAGCGGAGGCATTCAAAATACCGGAAGTAAGACCTTCTTGTTCAGGGTAGGTGGTTTCGGCGGCAAATTCGAATCCAAGAGGCAAATAGCCAGTCATAAAGAATCTAAATGTGGTGAGTAATAGTCTAAACTAAGTGGATCAGACGAAAAATAATAAATACACACAAATTAGTTATCAAAAGTATATTTATATTTATATACCGGGTTTTTATTCAAAATAAAATGCTATAATTTTTAAATAAATAATTAGAGACTATTAATAAATTTTAAATAAAATGAATTATCTTAATTCATATATTTAGAATAATATTGGTTAAGAAACGATCTTATCTATTATGATAAGTATAAGTATAAGTATACTTAAAATAAATTAACTTTCCTGCTAAGGTGTCCGAACTAGGCAATCATATTATTTGTAAGACCATGATCATAAAACTCCAAAACAGGATCAAGTGCGTAGCACTATCAAATGTATTTATGAAGAGAAGCTGGTTCACGAAGCCTATTGTTAGAATGATGCTGGCATATCTTTCATTCTTATATATAACTTTACGATGCTAATGAAGCATCCCATGATTTGTTTGCCTATACCATGTCTACCATAGTTTCATGCAGACGAGTGAAAATGATGCATGAAAGGGAAGCAGGTGTAGTTACACCTTTTCCTTATGTCAATAAACTAGGATATTATCTTGTTATTATGGTGCTTGCTTTAGGTTTGTGAATTCACGTGCGTGTGTATGCAACACTTATCAGTCAGTTGACAATGTAGTGTCCAAAATAGACTCCAGTTTGGCCAAACCTTCTCCCCTTTTTCGGAAAATCCTAAAACCAAGGCAGTTTTCAATAAAGAATTCGTATTTATTTACTGAGCCGATAGATAAGCTAGTATGGAACGTGAAGATTTGCCTGTGACTTTTAATGCACTGTCAGTGTATACTAATATTACGATAATTAAGGCTGTACAGGCTATAAGATTAACATTAAATTAAAGCCAAGAGATTATAACATGAAAAAAGATAAGGAGAGTGAGAAACTAAGTAATCAATAGTATATGTT